AAGTCGTCTGGATTCACCGCCTCTATTCGTTTATTTCCCGAGGACATTACATCCGTCTTGTGTGTTTTGGGAAAGGACACTGCCTCCACACATAACCAGTTTGAGTTTGCGTGTTTGTTTGATTGAATCAATCATTTAAATACAAATACCAAATAATGCTAAATTGCCTTTTCTGGGCATTATTATTTTAATTAGAAACCAAAGTTAAATTTGCATTCAATTTATGCTTGCGCACTTTCAATTAAACGGCAACACATGGCGTATGAGTAATTGGGGTGTGTTGTGTGTAGAGTTAATATTACGCATACGCCGTGTGGTTTGCTAACTAAATTTTGGATATAAATTGCCAAAGGGTTTGGATAATTTGGTTCAAAATTGGCGAGACTAGGCCTTTGGGCTTTAAAAAAAGTCCGCTTATTCCCAAACAAAACCATTTCCATCCAATAGAACTTTTTAATCTCTCCCTTTACCTATTAACTAGTTTTTATTTTAGTTATTTGTTACTTTTAGGCTATATTTTTGAATTTTATATATACAATCTATATATACAAAAGCTTGTCCGCGTGCCTGTTAAACAATAAAAGCAAAGAATTACTAATAAAGCTTCTCATTATCTTACTATTAAAGATATAGAGTAAACAAAGGTCTCCGTGTGTCCGTGTGTCTGCTAGTTTTTAAGCGAATTACTCGCTAACTGTCCAAGCTATTATTCTCCTATTTGAAACACTAACTTTTCCTAACTTATCGGTTAACATTTAAACCATTTTGAAGCTTTGGAAAGCACTAGAATTTTATTTAATGCGAAAAACTATTAAGTGCAAGCTCTAAACGGTAATCGTTTATCAAAAAATAACTTTTTTTTGTTGCAAACTATCTCTCTTATGACGGCGATTAAGTGAGTGGCATCACCTTGCCCTGCCTGCAACCAGCCACCAGCCACCTGCCACCTGCCTCCAGGCACTTGCCCCGTGCCACACTCTCGCCAAAAAGTGGGTGGCACTTTGCATTTTATTGCCAGTGCCAGTTAACGGCTTGTCGTATTAATAAATGTTTATGTGTGTGTGTGAGTCTATGAGTGGGCGTATCTGGCTCTCGCTCTGTGTATGTGTGGGCCATGAATGAGCATCGAAATCGCTTTGTAAAGCACTTGTAATTATTTCTCATTGGATATTAATGCGCCCAGAAGCTGACTGCACTTTGCCGCTTCGCTGTTTTCCACTAAACGTGGCAGAAAAAACAAAAAAAGCATTTAATTGGGGTTTATGCCACACACACACACCCACTAAGTGCAACCTCCAAAAAGTTATAAACACCCACACACACACTATAATGTATATGTTATGTAGTGCGGGGGTCCTGGGTGAAAGTGGCTTTGGCGAAAGTAATTTAATTATGAAAAATTGGATTAGCTGGGTAGTGCTTTGTGCTCTCCACATAATATATACCATATATTTAAGGAAAATAAAGCAAACATGTGTGTGACCTTTATGCATTATGGTCTTTATGCAGTTGACATTAAAAGTATTCCTCTTTTTTTAATGCATTTTAATAGCAGCGGTGGTGCTGTGTCTTAATTTATGGCATTTTAAATGCAATTTAGTGTCGGGACTCAAGGACTCTATGGCCAGAAAGAGATGGCTAGTGAGAGATAGAGAGATGGAGAGATTGTGTCACAAACTATTATGCACTTCCTGTCACATGGAAACTTCAGCAATCAAAGCCAAAAACTTGTTGTTTTTCGGGGCTGTATGATGGCATTGTCCTTGGCAGGAGCTCTGTTAAGGTCCCCAAGCTCTCAGGCCACATGTATCCTTGGTCCTTGGTCCTTTTGTTTGCACAGTTCATCTCTCTTTCTGGCCGGGTCTGCCCATCTCGTTCCTACCTTTGTTGTGTACTTTGTTTGTTGGTCTCTCCGGCTTGCAGGCTCTCTGGCTCACTCTGGCTTACTTTAATTGTTAATTTGGCTTATAGCTCTTCTCCCCCTCCCTCGCTCTGTGTTGACCACAAATCATATTTTACCAAAACCCCCCCGCCCCGTCACCGTCCATCGATGCCCCCAGGGGAGGCAGTCAGTGTCCTGTGTCGACAGGGGAGGACTCACTTAAGGTGTTTTCACTGCCGCAGTCGTTCTGCGGCCAGGATGAGTAAATGTAATCAAAACCAAATTGCTGAAATTATTATTTAATTAATATAGAGCCAGCTGTGATTCGCACGGGCTACGATGGACTCTGCCAGCCAGCCATATGCCTGAGATCCAAGGTGGATCAAATTAAAGCTTAATGCCCTTCATCGAGCAGGTTGCCGGCTGTTAATTCAAAGCCAATTAAACAAGGGAATTAGGAGTCTATAACTGGGCATTAAATAGGGCTTTTTTAAAGGATCATTATAGTTGTTTAATATTTTAAATTATTAAAAGGTTAAAGGTCTTGAAATATCTCAAAAAAACTTTATTAAGTTGTGACTCTGAAACCAAAAAAGCAAACCCATACTCTCTGCTGAAAGCTGCTGTCTCTTGTCATAATTTGTTAGGAATTTGAGATTCTTGACCTTTCACCTTGAAGGTAGACTTTAGAAGGAGAAAAACAATGAATGACGTAGAAAGATAAGAGAAGAAAGCACTTGCCAAGGCAATAACTCAATGGCTAAATCAATTGACGCTCTCTCGGCCACTCTGGTAGTCCGTTGAGAGTGCAGCTTATACCAAGTCATGGCCAAAAGGACACAGCCTCCGCTACAGCCTCAGCCACACCCACCATCCACCTGCTGTTGTTCTTGGCAAGCCTTGAGCCTCCTCCTCCTCCTCCTGCACATCCTTCGAAGGCTTCAAAACAAAAAGTCAAATTGAATTACTTTTGCAACATGGCAGCCACTCATTGTTGTGCGGAGTCTGTATTGTTGTTGTTGTTGCTGGCATTATCCTTGTAGTGTTTCCGTACAACAGTGGCAACCAGCAGCAGCAGCACCAGCACCAGCACCTGGCCATAGCAGAAGTTTTCATCCTGCCACACCTGACACATCCTTCGCATCCTTCGGCTTCCGCTCAACTGAAAAGCTATTGAAAGAAGAGTCCTTTGCCGAGGCAGGAGGAGGGCTGGGGGGTGGTCGTGGGCAGGATTCAGGACATGGCTGGATTGGCCAGCACTTTGGCCAGGACTCCATCTTCCAAGAGGCTGCAGTGCATCTGCCGGGCATTCGAACACTGGAGCATCCGAGCAGCAATATGGCCTGCACTCGAAAAAATAGTTATTTCCTTTTGCTGGTGCTTGATCGAAGAATATAAAGGTAGGGAACAGAGATAGGAATACTTCTAAAGAATTATTATACTTTTATTTAAATTAAATATTTTTCCACAAAAAGCTGTACAGTAAGGTGACCTTTAAATATAAATATTTAGGAATTTCCATCACCTTTTATGTTATTTTCTGAAAATTGAACATTTGAAAAGGTTTCTCGAAAAGGGATCTCTCAAGAAATACATTTAAAGTATAAATGGAAACCATACCAAATATTTCTTCCAGTGTCTGGGCCACAGAACACAAATAATAAAAAAAAAAAGTCCCGAAAGAAGGGAATTTTTTACGCTTTGTAAGCAAAAGTGTGCAAACTTCCGCCGGAACTGAGACAGAAGGGAGAGATGCAACGAGGGAGGGGGTGAGGAAGTGTGGCAGGGTTTCGGGTTGGGGGAAAACTTGGCAACTCCAGGGGCAGGATGTTGCAGGAGGCTCTTAAACGCCGCGGACACTGGCAAACATTGCGCTTCTGCTGTTGCCGCGTAAGTTGCCTGAAAAGCTGTCGTACCTCCGCCCTTTACAGCCTGCTGCCTTCGTCCTTCGTCCTTTTGTCTGGGCTCTATACAATGCAAGTTAATGCAGCCACCAACTCGGGGCAACAGCTGCTCTATTGCCAATGCGCCCGCCTGCCCATTTTTGTGGCAGAGCCGCCAACAACTTGTTGGCGTTGTTTCCTGTCAATCAGCCCACGTCCCGGGGTCCTGTCAGTGTCCTGCTGCCTGCATTGTTTGCGGCCAGGACACAAAAATAAAAATAAAACGAAAGAATAGCAACAAAAACAAGAGAAAACATAATCTAAATTTTTTTTGTAATTGTCCCAGGAAGGACCTCGTTGCCTCGGGCAACCAAGGCAGCCGAGGCAGTCGAGGAGGAGGCAGGGCATTCACTGGGATTTTGTTGCCAGTCAGTCATCATTGTCCTGGAGCCGGGCTCTCTCTCCCTTTTATTTTTAATGCCCTACGAGAAGACACAACTAAAATTATGTCCATGGAAGTTGTAGAGTTTGAAAGGCCTTTTAAGATCCTAGGGTATTTCAGACTTCGTCAAAGCTTTTCAGCTTTCTCTCTTCTTCCTGTCGGTCCTGTCCTGTATGCCCCGTCCTGTATTATTTTTTGTAATCACTTTAGGAGCAGTCCCCCAGGCCTTTCGTCCTGCCATGGTATTCCCTCCCTAATACAATATCTTCCACTCAATTTGGTCTTAATGCCCTTTTTTCATTTAGTCCTGCCCACACACTACCACATTTATTTAGTTCCTTTAATTTTTCGTTTATTTCATTGAAATCGAATCGGGGTTCTACATCATTTCGTGGCGCAACCGGGCACCCACAAAAGCCACTCCTAACCCAACCAGCAGGTACACCGCCAGTCGCAACACTGAGCCCCCAGCTTCAATAGGGAGGCAGGGCTCGAGGGTGGTGGCCTTTGTCGGATTTGGGCAATGTTTGTAGTTGGCGGCCGCCTTCTCCGCGACCAGTTGGGACATGGACTGATCCCACAGAGCCGCCGTTTCGCTGTGGCACAGGTGGTAGTTCTGCTGCAACTGCTGTTGCAGGTTCAAGCTCCGCTCCGACATCGATTTCCACAGTTTCCCGTTCTCGAACTCCATTTTATTTTACTTGCAATTTACTGACAATACTAGCTTGATTGAAATTTGATTTACTTTCACTAGGAATTTCCAAATACTCAAAGAAATATATGACTTATAGCTCTATGATATAACACAGAGGCATTTTTTAGAGCTTTCTGGCTCATCGTGACTAGATTCTGGTTTAGCTGCCTTTTTCAAACTAAAGTGATAAAAAATATATAAAGTAAAGGCTTATTTTCAACTAACAGCTTACCCTTCAGATTTTGTAACAAAAGCTGCCTCCTGAGCGGGATGAGAGTGCAGAGTTCTTTCAATTCCAAGCTCTTCCAGATCAGATTGTATGTCTTTTAAAGTGTCCACAATGATCGCAAGCTAGGTTAGAGTTTATCTCAGCAAAGCCTTTCTACACGCTTCTGAAGGTGACCACCTATGGCTCTTACTACTCACCTTCTGTGAAATTTGAAATCTCTCCTGCTGATAGTGTTCGAAATCGGAACAATTCTGCTCATAAGTGGCATGATAATTACGGAGTCGTTTGCTCCACTTGTCATTGAACTCTTCAGTAATTTTATTAAGCTTTTGGCGCGGAATTGCAACAGTCAGTTCCATATTAGAGGCCATTTTTCCAGTCAGTTCTCTCCGAAATGTTCACGTTTTTCGTTGTGTTTGAAACTCCCTTCAAGGCCCTCTGTTTGACAAGGAACGTGGGGGTATTATTGTTGTATTTCCCTGCTTCTCCATCTTGTTTTTTTTAAACGAGGCCAAAGGTCAGGGCATGGACCAGGGAGCAACTGAATGGCAACTGGGTCAGTGAAATAAATAATGAATATTGTTGCCAACAGCAGGGCAAACAACAGCAGCAGCAGCAACTCGAGATGTGTTGCAAGTGCAACACGCGCACGGCGGCGCTAAGCGGCTGCATTAAAAGGCCACTCGTTGGGCGCCAAAATAACAAAAAAAAATAAAAATTATTTTTTTTATAAAACAATGGTGGAGAACTTTGACTGGCGGGGCTCGAAGGCTCGACAAAAAAATCGAAATACTGGCAACAGAATGATGAAATGCTAAAAAGCATGAAACTGCAACACCAGCAGCAGAAGCAGGCACCCGGGGAGGCAGCTGTGGGCCCGTGTGGCAGGACTTGTGGGGCGAAAGGGGCGCCCTGAAGTGGGCGCTTGATTACACTGAAATGCACTCAAAAGTGGCGAACGAAGCGATGCCGCCAGCGAATGCAATCGAACGGGAATAACTCGACCTGCCACCCGCCGACCCGCCCTCACACACATACACACTTGCCACACACTAATACCCCGCCCCCCGAAAGGCTGGGGCCGAAAAGTTCCACAAATTACATTTAAGTGACGCAAAAGTTAAGTGAAACTCATTGCGAAAATCGCGGCTAGATGCAATGTGGCATGACTGAATGGCGGTAACGGAGGGCTGACTGCCATAGCAGGGCTGTGTTGCAAGTTCAGTATGTGTGTGTGTGCTTGCAACACTGTTAAGTGCTTTGGCATGCCGAAAGTAGGCACTTGAACTATTTCTGTGTTCTCGCCGCACTCTCCCACACATACGCATCCTGGCAGTTGTTTATGGCTTGGCGATGTTTCTGAAGGGCTTGAACCCCTCCCCCCAACTACACCCGCTACGGGACGGAAATCGAGATAATCCATACTCCTGGAATGAGTCCCAGTAGGCTTTCCAGTCACCCCACTTGTGGCAGTCAAGTCCTAACTCCAAAATCCCAGTTATAATCCCAGTTGTGGAACAATCTCTCAAATATCTCGAAGTATCTTATTAAACCCTCTGAGACCATGGCACCTCGTGTTCCGTATACCTGGCGTCTGCCAGACTTTCCCGGCGATGGCAGCGACCTCAAGTGGATAGATCCCAGCCTGCTGGTCATCTGCCAGAATGCCGATGTGGATGCCGCCATCCAGCCCCTGTTGCAGACACTCAAGCAACCGTTTGCCCCCCGATTGGTGGCCAGTGTCTTCTGCCACGAGACGATGCGTGAGGTGTTCAAGAAACGGGTTGTGGCCTCCATGGAGCTGCTGCATCGCCATGCCGGCAATCATTCCCAGTACAAGAAGGCCTGTCGCATGATCGAATGCCTCAACGCCGAGGTGATCTGTGTCCTTTACTCGGACTACATCGGTTTCCATTGGCAGCGGGCCGACGGCTCGCCGGTCATTGTCTGCGAGTTCGACCAGAGCTTCTTCGGCGGCCAGAGGCCCACCTCGGTCGTCACCCTGCACACGTTCCGCAATGTCCAGGAACTCCCGCAACTGGTGGCCCGGGAGCGTATACCGTTCGTCAGTGCCGCCGTCTGGTGTCCCAAGATGTCGGCCGCCTACGAGACCGCCTTCAAGCTCGGCTTGGACGTGGTCTACATCAACTGTCACTCGATTCCGCTGGTCCCCATCATGGAGTTCTTTCTGGCCCAGCAGGCGCATGTTATCCTGGCCAATCACCACCACTATGAGGTTGTGCGCCACGAGGACAAGTGCCGACTCATTGTCTTTCCGGCCGTTGTCCTCTGGTGCCCTGCCGAGCCGCCACAGCCGGAGCCCGCGAAGAGGAAGTCAGACCAGGGCAAGGGTGCAAAAATTGCAGAGTCCTAGACCCTAGTGTAAATAAAATTTTAAATGCTTTTTTTAAAGGATTCTTAGATTTTGGCTAAGAGGTATATGTGAGAACTATGAGATCCCACAAGTACCGGGTGTTTATTCTGTTAGCTCTCAGATCGTCGGCAAATCCCGTTGTCTCTTCTTTAAGATTCCAGAGTCGCCACAAGTACCGGGTATCTATAGACTCTCAGTGACTTCACAAGTACCTGGTATCATCTATCCCTCACTTAAACCTAGATGAAATCCCATAATTCCAGTGTCGGAAGCAAACTGGATTTTCGGGAGATTACAATTCGTTAGGACTGATTCCTAGATTTTTCGTTTCGTTGGTCACAAAAGGGTGTGTGTGTGTGTGTCGTGTCTCCGGTTGTTGCATTAACAACTCAATCCCTTTCGAGGAATCTAACATATCCTGGCAAGACCAGTCAGCGTTCGTTCCCCCCGCCCGTTCAGCCCCTGCCTTGGATATCAATTCCCCGGCAAGGAAATGAACACCGACTGGTCGTCCTCCTCTCGTTCTAGTCCCTAGTTTTTCGTAGCATGCCCCATCCATCAGTGCCACTTGGCGATGGAAATGTAGATGGAGACATCGTCTCTGGTTTTGCCTGGCTTCACTTGTGTTTTAGCCTCATTTGCCACATGGCTTCCACACTCCTCTCCCCCCACACTCCTTTCTGAAGTCCCGCAACCCACAATGGTATTCCCATTTCTCTGCCTTGTGGCTGTGCCTCACTAATGATGCATTCTCACTTGCAACACAGCACTGCTGCTGCACGGCACATGCAACACTGCAACATGGCAACACTGCAGCAGCAGCCACAGACACAGTTTGGAGACCGAAATTGCGCCCCAGTTCACTCGAGTAAAATGGAATATATCCCCGCGTCCCAGTATCCCAGTATCCCAGCTCCCGACTCCCGAATCTCAAATCCTTAATCCTGTATCCTCTATTCCGGTATCCTGTATCCTGTATCCCATATCCTCAATCCCAACTTGTGCAGCACTTTTAGCACTCGTGGGAGCAGCCAACCCAAGGCAGTCAGCCATGTGCCACATGCAACAGCACTCCCTGCCACATGGCGCCCAGTCTCCATTCTCCGCATATGTGCAAATGCCTTCTATCTGTTTCCATGACGCTGGCAAAATATTTAGCTTAAATTAGTAGGATTTTATTGCACTTTTTAAAAGTTGTTCATGCTTTTTTTTTTCTATTCTTCCATTCAATACCAAAACTGTAGTGGAAAAAGTTTTTGGTATTAAATGCGAAAAGTTTTTCTCGGGAATTCTTTACAAAATACTTAGTTTCTCTGAAAAAGCATCCCTACTTTAATTAAAACTAAAATACTATTTAAGAAGCAGCTTAAAAACAACAAAAAATGTTTTGCTTTATTCACTTTAATCTTGAACCAATTATCTTAAACGAATTTCGGTATATTTTGTTGTCTGGACATGTCTGAACATGACAAGACATTAATTTTTATGTATAAACTGGCTGTTTTTTGCAAAAATCATTGTTTTTGGTCTTTTTTTGTCGGTAGAGTGGCTTAAAGAGTTGCTACCACACAGAGGGAGGCTTGTCCTCGTAAAATGAAATCCCTTTCCAGGACATACCGTTGCCCAGGCATATGGTCACTTTATGCCTCTTTTGTGTGGCCATGTTGTTGCGGTTTTGTTATTTTTTCCTTCTGTGTTTTTTTTTGTTGGTAGGGAAGAGTCACTCGATAAACACGTTGCGCAAAGAAACCGTTGCATAAATTAAGCCTTAATATCCTGACCTCATCGATGTGCCTGTGCAAATGCCGATATCAGGATACCAGTTATCCTGGCAGGCCTTTGTTGGCTAACAAACCACCTCCCCCTGTCAGCAGATTGCAATTTTGCAAAGACCCCCACCCCGCACCAGGGAACCACCTCCACCTCCAAATCCAAATCGAAAATCGTTCAATTTTTCAAAGTCCGACAAATGAATATTTGAGGCCGAAAAAGTGAAAAAGTGGAAAATGGGCAGAAATTGCTAAAAAGGACTAGATGGTGGAGATGGGCACGGGAGTGCCTGGTCAGTGGCCAAGTGAAAAGTGGCAAGTGTAAAGATTTACGAGCAAATCTCCACTTGGCTCAGTTTTCTCTTCTTTCTCATTTTTGCCATTTTCATTGCCAAAGCCAGGAAAACCTTGGCAAATTGACTTTTGCCTTTAAACTGGTTAGCACTTTTCACTTTTCCATCTGGCCAAGATACCGACTTTGTAAGGATTCTAAGGAATGTAAAGGGAGCTTTCATTATAGCCCCAAAGCAGGTGGAAAGGACTCTTTTGATTTTAAACTTTTCCTTAAAAAATTGTAGCTTACTAGAAACCTCTCCATAATATCTAATTTGTTAAGCATGTTTGGACATGTCTAAGCATGAAAGAACTTGTTGGACACCTCAAGAGTTAACCTTCAAAATCTGGTCCGACTTTCAACCTTTCGCCTTCTTGTGTTGGGTAAATTGAATCCTTTTCACCTCACCAGGCAGGTGAGTGCCGAAGGCCAATCAATACACGTTGTAACACTTCATCTCAGCCAGGACCAGGGCCAGGACTAGGACCAGGACCTGGTAGTCCTGAGAAACCCCTGGGTTGCCAGGCAATAAATTAACAGAAAAAGAAAACACGCACGCCCACAAGCGAAGAAAAAAACCTAAAAACCAAACTAAATTAAAATTTTTCATGGATGTGGAAGAGGATTAGGGGTAGGGGGAGGTACAGTTATCATGGAAATCCTGGCCAGCACCTTGCAGCAACAACAACAAGCGGAGCAAATAAAAAATGAAACACAAAATGACACAAAGAATTTATCAAACATCCGCTTCCAGCGAAATGGCAACGCGGCGTCGCGAGGGAGGGAGGTGCCATAAACCCTAAGGGGGGATGGGAGGGGAGGGAATGTATGTGTCGCAACCAATTTACAAATGCCTAAGGGGCGGAGGGGGGCCTGACAAAAGATAAAGACAGATGAAGAGAGTGAGAGAATGAGAGAGGAAGAGAAAAGAAAATTGTTTATTGTTTCATAATTGAAGCCAAGAGGTCCTTCGTGTTGACCCCTAAAATGACCTGTGCCTCCCAGACCAAGCCCTCTAAGAACTATTACTATATATTTATAAATATTCATATTTACCTCATAGATCCTGTATAGCACACTTTAGGCCTATTTCTTGAAAATTTCATTTAAAATATTTTTTAATAGATTCTTTAAAAAGGTCCTTTAAAGAAATACAAAATACCTTAACAATTGTAGCATACTTTTTTGCGCTTATTTCTAAGAATTGTGTGTTATTCATAGAGCCTGTAAATAGCTCCATTAAATACGTCCTTTAAATAGCTCTTTCATAAAAAAAAATCATTTTTTATAGAAAGTTGATTGCCATTTTAATTTTTAAATTTAACAATTTCCCAGGCACATTCCTGGAATTTAGACCAACTTAAAAGGCGAAGAGCTTCCACCCAAAACGGGGGTACGGTGCTCCATTTGGCAGATAATCTGATGGCACACCTCCACCCCTCTTTTGGGGCAACTTTGTTAATTGCCTTAACGCAAATAAATTCAAAAAAAAAAGAGAGGCACAAATAAAAATGCAAAACAAAAGCAATTTCATCAGAAGGTGGATTGAAAATGATTTCCACGAAGGATGCCTGAAGGTCCTGGCCACGTGTGGCAGACATGCCTCAGATGGCCAGGGATTCTGCCATGGAATCCTGTTAGCCATCAATTGCTGTCTAAGCAGGTGGGTGGTGGGAGGCGGATGGCTGGGTGACTGCGATGGTAAGGGGTGGTAAGGTCGAAACAAAAACTTCATTAAGCCCTGGGTGTTTCAACAATAACATTTATTCTCATCCTGCCACTCCCCCAGCAAACAGACACACGCATATTGTGTGGAGCAAGATTTATAAGCATTTTACACCTGTGGCAGCATCTTTTTAGGCTTGCAACAAATGGGGGCAGCCCCACTGCCACACACTGCGTGCAAACAAGCTGAAAATTCATTAAACTCGAGCCATAAATTCTTTTAATTGTTTTCTTTCTTTCAAGTTGCTTATCTGTTTTAGCTTTTTATTTATTTTCTTACTTATTTCTTATATCATTAATTTTTGTGTAATTATTTGTTGTATTCTCATTAGCAAACTTTGACAGTTAGATCATTAATACTTGGAGAATCTAATGTATATAGTATGCACGTATATATTCCTCTTTCCAACCGACTTGTCAAGAATCTCAACTAATGGATTTCCACTTCGATTCTTTTACTTTTTCCCACTTGCAGGTGTCTACGGCATCGACTTATTTCATGTTGTAATTCGAGGACTTTCGGTAAGTTTACCAAAAAGGACAAAAACAAGGATAAACAAGAAATTGGTAAAAGTATTCTATTTTGAATTGTTGCCAAACGAAAGAGGAAGGATAACCAAACCGACGAGATTGTCCTGAGAAACTGCAACAGAAAGTTTCGATTTGGTTTTTGGGGTCAGTTTTTTTGTCGAAGGAAGCAAAGCTACCAAAGCAGGAAGGACGAGAGTCCTTTTAAGGGGAAAAGGGGGTTGCTGAGAGACAAAACCCCAAAAAGTAGATTTTCTTTAAGTTCGAAGGACAGGTGGAAGTAATTCCAAAGCAAGGCAAGTCCTTTATCGGCACATGCATACACTTTTGTTAACTGAATTAGAAAATGTTAGAGAAAGGACCCTAAAACAAGGATATGAAATTGTTAATTAAAAAAAAGAGAATAACACTTATATCCTTAAATAAAAAGCACTCTATAAATGCTCCTTAAGTGTGTCCTGCACCAGATGCTGGCGAATTAGCCCGACTGTCTTAATCATTGGCCAAAAGGACATGGCCTGGCTCCAGGACAGCTGAAGCAGAAAGCAAGAGAACAGCAGGAGCAGGAGAAGCACCTGAGCGTTGCTTAATTCCTTGCCAATATATTAAACTTATTGTGCCTGGCAGAAGGACACTGCAATCCTGAAATCCTGCCATCTCCTGCTTCTGCTGGCAGTTGCACTTCCGGCCCTGTCGTCCTTGCGGCAACATTTGACATTTCGCAAAGCCAGGACAAGCTGGCACCATATACATGGTGCTCCATCCACCTCTCTGTCACTCTTCATCTCCGGCCTGCAGGACCCTCGGCCTGCAAGCGACTCCTTGTCGCTGTTCATTTCAGGAAATGCATTTCGTCAGCGTTGAATGAAAACGAAATTGCCAATTTCAATGGAGGGATAAGGATCAGGCGGTGTAAAGAGATTGGCCAAATGCAAGGATATATGTATGTATATAGGGTGAGGGGTAGCAGCTAAAAAGGACACTCACGCACACACATTTAGGCGTTCAGGCGTTCAGGCGTTTAGGCTCAATCAGTCAGTCACTGGTCCATGATTTTTTTCGCCCCAACATCGCGTTTCTACTAATGTGATTTGCACGAAAACTGTGACACTCTTCCATCTTCAGAGAAGAGAAAGAAAAGCCAAAAAAAGGACGAGACAAGGAATTGGGGAATCTAAGAAAAAGGATACATATCATAGATAACCTAATTACTTCCAAAAAATGCATTTAAAATTAGTATTAGAAAGATATCTTTAGAATTCCAAGTACCAGATATCATATAGTCTTTCTTTATACTTCTTTCTTCCTTTTTTCGTCCTTTTCTTTTAAGTAAGTAATAATATCCTTTACAATAGTTTCTCCCTAAATCAAATCAATTGAAGCCAAATAATACAATAAATTCTCCAAAATAGTGGAAAATCTTCGGTTGCTTCTGGCAGAAGAAGAAGAAAAAAAGCCAAACTCCTTCATAAAATCCTTGGTTATCCAAGTGGGCGAAAGCCAAATGGTGGGGCGTGCCAGCAGTTAAGAAACCTTAGCCCAGTTATGAGAGCAACTGCGTAAATCAACTCGAGCTCAAGCGAATGAAAGCCAAACAATGAAGGAGCTCGTTTGCTTTTACTTAGCCACCCAAAGGCTTGCTCCTCCTCCTTCTCGGCCTTCTCCCGGACCCACATCCCACCGCCACTACTATTGGCAATCCAAACAAAAGCTATGCAGAATTATGTCAATGGCATCGTTGTCATGGTCGCTGTTAGTCCCTCATTCCTTCTTTCCCGACTTTCCTTCCTCCCCTTTCACCTCTCTCTTCCTGCTACTTTCTCCAACCACTTTTCATCATTCTCCAGGTGCTCCTCCACTGAAGCCATTATCGTCAGCTATTGCCGCGCTTCACTCAAATAACCGCGAAAGTATTACACTTCGAGAAACAGATTTGGGTTTTATTTTTGAAGGTAAAATTCGAAACTCGTAAAAAAAATCAAAAATATATTTTTATACAGGAGTTTGATGCAGAATGGTGGAGAATCGTTTAAGATACTTGGCTAAAGAATCGGATAAGAATTGGGGAAGATATAGCCTCAAGGTGGACCCCATAGGGGAAAACCACATTTTCAAGGGACCCCATCGAAAAATGGAAAAAAAATCTAAAAAATATTTTATCTCCGGATTTTGATGCAGAATGGTGGAGAATCGATCCACAAATCGTTTAAGGTACTTGGCTTAAGAATCGGATGAGAATTGGGGAAGATATAGCCATCACGGTGGACCCTATAGGGGAAAACCACATTTTCAGGGAACCCCATCGAAAAATGGACAAAAAATCGAAAAAATATTTTGCCTCAGGGTTTTGATGCAGAATGGTGGAGAATCGAGCCACAAATCGTTTAAGGTACTTGGCTTAAGAATCGGATGAGAATTGGGGAAGATATAGCCATCACGGTGGACCCTATAGGGGAAAACCACATTTTCAAGGGACCCCATCGAAAAATGGACAAAAAATCTAAAAAATATTTTGTCTCCGGATTTTGATGCAGAATGGTGGAGAATCGAGCCACAAATCGTTTAAGGTACTTCGCTTAAGAATCGGATGAGAATTGGGGAAGATATAGCCATCACGGTGGACCCTATAGGGGAAAACCACATTTTCAAGGGACCCCATCGAAAAATGGACAAAAAATCTAAAAAATATTTTGTCTCCGAATTTTGATGCAGAATGGTGGAGAATCGAGCCACAAATCGTTTAAGGTACTTGGCTTAAGAATCGGATGAGAATTGGGGAAGATATAGCCATCACGGTGGACCCTATAGGGGAAAACCACATTTTCAAGGGACCCCATCGAAAAATGGACAAAAAATCTAAAAAATATTTTGTCTCCGGATTTTGATGCAGAATGGTGGAGAATCGAGCCACAAATCGTTTAAGGTACTTGGCTTAAGAATCGGATGAGAATTGGGGAAGATATTAGCCATCACGGTGGACCCCATAGGGGAAAACCACATTTTCAGGGAACCCCATCGAAAAATGGAAAAAAAATCTAAAAAATATTTTATCTCCGGATTTTGATGCAGAACGGTGGAGAATCTATCCACAAATCGTTTAAGGTACTTGGCTTAAGAATCGGATGAGAATTGGCAAAGATATAGCCATCACGGTGGACCCTATAGGGGAAAACCACATTTTCAAGGGACCCCATCGAAAAATGGACAAAAAATCGAAAAATATTTTGCCTCAGGGTTTTGATGCAGAATGGTGGAGAATCGAGCCACAAATCGTTTAAGGTACTTGGCTTAAGAATCGGATGAGAATTGGGGAAGATATAGCCATCACGGTGGACCCTATAGGGGAAAACCACATTTTCAAGAGACCCCATCGAAAAATGGAAAAAAAATCTAAAAAATATTTTATCTCCGGATTTTGATGCAGAACGGTGGAGAATCGATCCACAAATCGTTTAAGGTACTTGGCTTAAGAATCGGATGAGAATTGGCAAAGATATAGCCATCACGGTGGACCCTATAGGGGAAAACCACATTTTCAAGGGACCCCATCGAAAAATGGACAAAAAATCTAAAAAATATTTTGCCTCAGGGTTTTGATGCAGAATGGTGGAGAATCGAGCCACAAATCGTTTAAGGTACTTCGATTAAGAATCGGATGAGAATTGGGGAAGATATAGCCATCACGGTGGACCCTATAGGGGAAAACCACATTTTCAAGGGACCCCATCGAAAAATGGACAAAAAATCGAAAAAATATTTTGCCTCAGGGTTTTGATGCAGAACTGTGGAGAATCGATTCACAAATCGTTTAAGGTACTTGGCTTAAGAACCGGATGAGAATTGGGGAAGATATAGCCATCACGGTGGACCCCATAGGGAAAAACCCCATCGAAAAATGGACAAAAAATCCAAAAAATATCAACATTTTTTTTTCAGTGCAAAAAAGCAAGTTAAAACCCCAAGTCTCCCCATCGCCCATCAAAACCAAAATTGAATACAAAAATCTCATCAAAAATCGATTAGAGCTGCGAGCGGGAAAATGACACGAGAGGGTGGGGTAGCAGAACAGAATAGAGAGCAGGGGGCAGTTGGGGGATGAGGGATGTGATGCCAAGACGAAGGATTGAGGTGGCAGGTAGCTGGTGGCAAGTGGAAAGTGGCAAGCAAATTTATATGGCAGCACGCTATGCCACAAGAATCGTGTTAATAAACGAAACTCCATTTTCCAGCAGCTCAGGATGCGACAAGCTTTACTTGCCACACACACACACTAGCTTGCCACATGCACCTTGTTTTTCTTGTTATTTTTTTCTTCTGGCTTTTTGGTGGCAAGTGGATTGAATAAATAACATTGGCGAATGCAATTTGCGAAATTAAAACCGAAAGTAGTGGTAGCTTGTCTTCTCCACTCGGTCCCAAGCCTTCTCCTTCTGGCCCGGCCTTCACCTCCTCCGCCTCCTTCTTTCTGGCCAACTTCTCTTGGCCATTGTCAGTATTTGGTCTTATCAGTGACAGCAATCATTTCTGCGGTTTTTTTGGTAAAACTTTCTCCTAACGACGCCAAAGCGATGAAACTGAAAATGAAAATGAAAATGATGATGATGATGATGGGGAGGATTTCGGTTAGAAAAGTGGGTGGTAGGTGGGGGAATGTGGTTTTTAAGGGGGTCTGGATGGCTGGGAGCCTGGCTGGCTGATTCCAAAGCAAAGTGTTCATTTGTAAAATTAATAAAAATAGTTTTCCACTCGCTTTCTCATGAATATGCATTGAGAAGTGGTTAAGCGAAAATGAGTTTTCATCGATCCGAGATGTCGAGTTTTCATTTGACTTTCCTTTGATTATATATTCTTGATGAGTGGACGAATATATATTTTACAAATCCCGAAAGTTAATATATTTATTTACTTTGTATCGAATGGCAGTGGCAAGCGTTTACTTTTTCACATAAGCCTGTAATCCCATCGGCAATTGCTTTAAAATAGAATCCAATTAT